ACTCTACTACACACCTATATCTAAAACATGAGTATTTACCACGTCTACGACTATACAACACAGCTAGATCTATAACATGCGTATTTACCACGTCTACGACTATACACACACCTAGATCTAAAACATGTGTATTTACTACGTCTACGACTATACAACACACCTAGATCAATAACATGCGCATTTAACACGTCTTCGACTATACAACACACCTATATCTATAACATGCGTATTTACTACGTCTACGACTATACAACACACCTAGATCTATAACATGAGTATTTACCACGTTTACTACTATACAACACACCTAGATCTATAACATGAGTATTTACCACGTCTACGACTATACAATACACCTAGATCAATAACATGCGTATTTACTACGTCTACGACTATACAACACACCTAGATCTATAACATGCGTATTTACTACGTATACGACTATACAACACACCTAGATCAATAGCATGCGTATTTAACACGTCTACGACTATACAACACACCTAGATCTAAAACATGAGTATTTACCACGTCTACGACTATACAATACACCTAGATCAATAACATGCGTATTTACTACGTCTACGACTATACAACACACCTAGATCAATAACATGCGCATTTAACACGTCTACGATTATACAATACACCTAGATATAAAACATGCGTATTTACCACGTCTACGACTATACAACACACCTATATATATATAACATGAGTATTGACCACGTCTACGACTATACTACACACCTATATCTAAAACATGAGTATTTACCACGTCTACGACTTTCCAATACACCTTCATCTAGAACATGAGCATTTACCACGTCTACGACTATAAAATACACCTAGATTTAGAACATGCACATTTAACACGTATACGACTATAAAACACACCTAGAAATATGAGTATTTACCACGTCTACGACTACAAAACACACCTAGATCTATAACATGAGTATTTACCACTTGCACGACTTTACAACACGCATAGATCTAGAATATAAATGTTTACCACGTTTACTACTATACAACACACCTAGATCTATAGCATGTGTATTCACCACGTCTACTACTTTACAACACACCAAGATCTAGAACATGCGTATTTATCACGTCTACGATTATACAACACACCTAGATCGATAACATGAGTATTTACCACGTTTACTATTATAGAACATGAGTATATACGACTATACACACACCTCATACAATACACCTATACAACACAGCTAGATCTATAACATGCGTATTTACCACGTCTACGACTATACAACACACCTATATATAGAACATGAGTATTTACAACGTGCATTACTATACAACACAACTAGATCTAAAACATGAGTATTTACCACGTCTACGACTATACACACACCTAGATCTAGAACAAGAGTATTTACCACGTCTACGACTATTCAACACACCTAGATCTAAAACATGCGTATTTACCACGTGCACGACTTTACAACATACCTAGATCTAGAACATGAGTATTTACCACGGCTACGACTATACAACACTCCTAGATCTAAAACATGAGTATTTACCAGGTCTACGACCTTAAAATACACCTACATCTAGAACATGAGTATTTACCACGTCTACGACTATACAATACACCTAGATTTAGAACATGCACATTTAACACGTATACGACTATAAAACACACCTAGATATATACAATGTAACATGAGTATTTACCACTTGCACGACTTTACAACACACCTAGATCTAGAATATAAGTGTTTATCACGTTTACTACTATACATCACTCCTAAATCTATAACATGTGTATTTACCACGTCTACTACTTTACAACACACCAAGATCTAGAACATGCGTATTTACCACGTCTACGATTATACAACACACCTAGATCAATAACATGATTATTTACCACGTTTACTACTATACAACACACCTAGATCTATAACATGAGTACTTACCACGTCTACAACTATACAACACACCTAGATCTAGAATATGTGTATTTACCACGTATACGATTATACAACACACCTAGATCGATAACATGAGTATTTACCACGTTTACTACTATACAACACACCTAGATCTATATCATGAGTACTTACCACGTCTACAACTATACAACACACCTAGATCTAGAATATGTGTATTTACCACGTATACGATTATACAACACACCTAGATCTATAACATGAGTATTTACCACGTCTACGACTATACAATACACCTAGATCTATAACATGAGTATTTACCACTGTGCCTGCACGACTTTACAACACACCTAGATCTAAAATATAAATGTTTGCCACGTTTACTACTATACAACACACCAAGATCTATAACATGTGTATTTACCGCGTCTACTACTTTACAACACACCAAGATCTAGAACATGAGTATTTATCACGTCTAAGGCTATACAACACACCTAGATATAAAACATGCGTATTTACTACGTCTACGACTATACAACACACCTTGATCTAAAACATGAGTATTTACCACGTCTACGACTATACAACACACCTAGATCTAGAATATGCGGATTTACCACGTCTACGACCATACATCACACCTATATATAGAACATGAGTATTTACAACGTTTGCTACTCTACAACACAACTAGATCTAAAACATGAATATTTACCACGTCTACGACTATACACACACCTAGATCTAGAACATGAGTATTTACCACGTCTACGAGTATACAACACACCTGTATATATAACATGAGTATTTACCACGTCTACGACAATACAACACACCTAGATCTAAAACATGCGTATTTACCACGTGCACGACTTTACAACACACCTAGATCTAGAACATGAGTATTTGTAACAGCTTGTTCACAAGACACTGGCTAACAGTGAACTATAGATCTTCATTGAACACATCATTTATGTTTTGTTATCTGAGATTTCCTCAACATGGAAATGTGTTGATGGATTGAACCATTGCGTATTTAACCATGTCCTGTCACGGCCATCAACTGTGTCCTAAACAGACTGTTATAATGTCGTTTACATTCTCACCGCCACCCAATCACCACATATAGTACTATACAACACACCTCGATCTATAACATGAGTATTTACCACGTCTATGACTATACAACACACCTAAATCTAAAACATGCGTATTTACCACGTCTACGACTATACAACATACCTATATATATAACATGAATATTTACCACGTCTACGACTATACAACACACCTAAATCTAAAACATGCGTATTTACCACGTCTACGACTATACAACACACCTAAATCTAGAACATGAGTATTTACCACATTTACTACTATACAACACCTAGATCTGGAACGTTAGTATTTACCACGCTTATTACTCTCAAATACATCTTGATATAGAACCGTAGTATATGATTTACCTCGAATGTTCTTATTTACCATAGCTTACATTCTTAATTACAGAGTTATTCAGTTCACATTTATATGTGTTTATGGCTGGTGTAGATGCCACTTCCTCAGGTGATCAACAAACAATTAACATATAGGAGCAGATCCAACACGTTCTAACAGTTCTAATCAAAGGTTTTTACTTGATCATTTACATTATTTATATTTCTTAAATATTATGGGTAACGTGTAATTTTTATTGTTAGTCGTTATTATTGTGATATTGAATAGAATAAGTTCGTGTATGTTTCTGGCATGTGTTATCTGTACAATTAATAATAAAGTGTGGCATGTTACACAGTCATAGGGAAACTGCGACGCTTAACTCCGAACAACAGTTGCTGTGATCTTTCTAAATGTAGAATCATCTGGCTTCCGTTTTTTAATGTTGCCTATGGAATATATATCCACCCAGAGGTAGCACGTTAACATCTGATGTTCCAAAAACGAATGGCATTAACATCGAAAGATATTACGACGCTTGAACCATCAGGTAACGGCTGATCGGAACGAAGAGTTCTCTATTGGGAAAACGAGAGTGCCAGGTATATTAATGTGATCATTGATTAGACTCCCGCATGCACGGTGCACTGTACGCTGTATTTTAGTATTTTGTATTTTTTTATGAAGACTGTTATAAACTAATTTATTGTTAAATAAGTACGATTGACGATATAATTGTAAAACCAGAGAAAGTGATATCTGAAAGTATTTCACCTGTCTTATTTATCTAAAGGACGCTTCGCTTTTATCATATAATGGGAAAGAGCTTGTTATTAGTTTCACTACATTCGTCACCAAATCCTTTAAAATAAAACAATTAAAGCAAAACACTATACAAACATACCCCTACATTTGTAAAATCCATTTGTGATTCTGCAGTTCGTGATACCATAATCTATTATACACGCTACATTAATTCGAATACTTTTTTTTGTTATGACTTAAACTATTTTAATCACATGTGCCCAATTTGTTCAGTTTTAATTTTGCTTTTATTTGCATCGATATTTTCATTTCAAATTAACAAATCAATACACAAGACGTATTATTAAGAATGAAACCGTTGTTTTGTATTTGTTTCACCCGCCGCTCAAACATATTGAGAACAGATGATATAAACATATGCTTTATTGGTCAGAACTACGAGAAAACGTAACATTATCTATAAGCACTATTAGTTCACCGATATCACTAAACAGGAAATATATGTTTGAATATGGCTATTTACATATTTGGTGTTAGCCTGGGTTTCATCTTAGGTAACTTTTTATAACAGCATTTAAGTTAATTTACAAACTCCCCTGAAAATCTAAGGTTTGTTCAATGTTGGTAAATCAGAAGATTCCGTGGATATAGATCAAAATTTAAATGTAAATCAATTGAACATTTTCGGCAATCAAAACACACCAACGACGCGTTGTACATAACACAATGTTAGGCGAATAGAATATGTATCCCTGCACCAATTCAAAGACATAATCTGGATTTGTGTAATTCTTTAATGCAAAGCTTTGCTAATCACCCGGTACCAACTGACCTACCTGTTTATAAACATGTTATCAAACTCTATTTTAGACACCTCCAAACTTTCTGGACAATTATCAGAATCCGTGCTGGAAAGAACGTGGAAATGGAAGCGGGGAAACATCTCTCAAATGCTTGCCTTATTTCCACATCATTGGAGCCGCTAAAGCCGGGACTACCGATCTCTTCTCCAGGATTACAATGCACCCAAGTATTATGAAGGTCGATGGTTTCCTCCAGAAAGAGACTTTCTATTGGAGCTGGAGACGCTACGGAAAATGTAGGACTATTTATTTTCTTAACATTGTTTTTGTCAATGCTTGAAATAATGGAGAACAGTGTACGTCATATTTACATAACGTTAATGCAGTTGGTATCATAGTGATTCATTAACAATATATGTTCCATCAATAAAATACTATCTGAGACGACAGTTGTAGGCATATATGTAGTTTTACTTTTATCACACACCTAGATTTATTTATATCTTTTTATAAATACATCACATGTATCACAACAATTGAAATCGCACACTTAAAGTGGGAAAACAATATCATACTGAATTAAATGATGACGTCAGGTAAACGTATTGTCAGAAGACCTAATCATAGTTGGTTTTCATTTAATTTGAAATAGCCTTGTAAATTGCTTCCAGGACACACATATATATATATATATATATATATATATATGTAGCGATAAATAGTTTTAAATGTCCATGTGACTGTAAAAATATAAATAAAGCAAAACACGAAGACTAGTATAATCGGCTAGCGCTTTCGCCCATCTTGGGGCTCTTCAGACGATTTAAATTTATTTGTGACGTCATAAATGGAGTACACATACTTTAGACGTCAAAAATAATGACGTCATAAACAAAGCACACATAATGCGAACGTCTAGAAATAATGTACTTGCATTAAATGCGTCAATGAAATATATGGAAAAAGAAACGGAGCATATTACAAATGCTCAAATGAACACATTGTTCAATAGTAAAAGTTAAAAACATCTGATAGTAAAAATGAATTTCAAAGCACAATACTTACATGTAGTTCATCCGAACATATTAAACATACGGAATATGTAAATTTGAAATTTACAAGAGGTGCTCGAAATTTCCCGCGTTCCAGCACGGTTTTAGAATTTTAATAAACATGTTCTCTTTTAACTCTCTTGCAATAGTAGCTGATGTGTTCATTTGGTAAATTAGTAAAACTAAAAACTGATCATTTGAACACTGATGAAAATGTTTGTAAACTAATAAATTTCGTAAACTATCAGTTTTGGTTTGTTGACGATGGACTGCCATTCTTTGACGTAGTTCATTTCCAGTTTGACCTATGTAAAATTCAGAGCATCTGAATTACAGCATATATTACATTTCTTGATTTGCAATTCATATTACATTTAATTTCAAATGTTTTGCCATTCTTAAAAACAAACGAGTTACACTCAACAATCATACTACATGTTCCACATCTCGGTTTCATACACTTTGTCACGCTGTAATTTACATTTATTTTCTCATCAAATTTTGACTTGCACAATAAACGTTTCAGATTCCTTGGTTGTCTTTTGCAATTAATTATTTTCTTCTTCTCCAAGACACGTTTCATTTTTTTGCTATTCATTAAAATTTCTTCGTGAACTTTCATAATTGGAAACATGTTCAAATTGTTAGGGTTGAATGTTGTAACAAACGGTATAATATCCTTTTGACTATTTGGGTCGTTAACTGAAATCGGACCCTTCTCCTTAGCTCTTTGAATACCGTTAAATATAATTTCGTCTGGATAGCATTGTTTTCTAAGATCATCTACTAAATTATTTAATCGCTCCTCTAACTTATATTTATCACTGACTGTGGTAACTAATCTAGATGCCAAACAAAATGGAATGTTAACTTTTGTATGTTTGGTGTGACTGGAATGAAAACAAAGATAGTTCTGGGAATCAGTTGGTTTGCAATAAAAATCTGTAGAAATGTGTCCGTTTGTTAGTTAAACCAAAACATCTAGAAAAGAAAGTTTATCATCACTAACTTCCATAGTATACTGTATGTCCGAGTGTAAGGAATTTAACTCTGAATAAAATTCAGAGACATTTTTGTCCGGCGGCCAGATGATAAAACCATCATCTAAAAATCTCAAAAAACTGTTTTTCAAAACATCGGAAATTCTTTATCTGAACTCTATTTTGTCATAAAGAATCTCTTCTAAATAACCTAACACTAAAGTAGCATAAGTAGGGGCAACTTTAGTACACATTGCCGTACCCTTACATTGCTGATAATGGTTACCATTGAAATAAAACGTGTTTCTTTCTAGAACAATTTTGAGATCGCTTATTATAAATTCTTTACTAAATCTTTCGTCTACATAGTCCGGATATTTAACAGCCTTTATACCTAAATCATGTGGTATGTTAGTATAAAGGCCAACTACATCAAAAGAGACCAATTTGGAACCAATTGTCACTGTCTTAGGTAAACAATATAAAAAGTCAAAATCGTCCTTAATGAAACTTTTAACAGTTGGACATAGTGGTTTTAGGATGATATCCAGAAAATGACTCAGACGTTGCGTAACACTTTCGGGACAGCCAACAATAGGCCTAAATCTTAAATCATATGGACAAAATATTGAAACGTATTCTGAATTATGAAACATACAAAAGTTAACATTCCATTTTGTTTGGCATCTAGATTAGTTATCATAGTCAGTGATATTTATAAGTTAGAGGAGCGATTAAATACTTGAGTAGATAATCTTAGAAAACAATGCTATCCAGACGAAATTGTATTTAACGGTATTCAAAGAGCTAAGGAGAAGGGTCCGATTTCAGTTAACGACCCAAATAGTCAAAAGGATATTATACCGTTTGTTACAACATTCAACCCTAACAATTTGAACATGTTTCCAATTATGAAAGTCCACGAAGAAATTTTAATGAATAGCAAAAAAATGAAACGTGTCTTGGAGAAGAAGAAAATAATTAATTGCAAAAGACAACCAAGGAATCTGAAACGTTTATTGTGCAAGTCAAAATTTAATGAGAAAATAAATGTAAATTACAGCGTGACAAAGTGTATGAAACCGAGATGTGGAACATGTAGTATGATTGTTGAGTGTAACTCGTTTGTTTTTAAGAATGGCAAAACATTTGAAATGAGATGTAATATGAATTGTAAATCAAGAAATGTAATATATGCTGTAATTCAGATGCTCTGAATTTTACATAGGTCAATCTGGAAATGAACTACGTCAAAGAATGGCAGTCCATCGTCAACAAACAAAAACTGATAGTTTACGAAATTTATTAGTTAACAAACATTTTCATCAGTGTTCAAATGATCAATTTTTAGTTTTACCAATTTACCAAATGAACACATCAGATACTTTTGCAAGAGAGTTAAAAGAGAACATGTTTATTAAAATTCTAAAACCGTGCTTGAACGTGGGAAATTTCGAGCACCTCTTGTAAATTCTAAATTTACATAATATGTTCGGATGAACTAAGAATTGTGCTTTGAAATTCATTTTTACTATCAGATGTTTTTAACTTTTACTATTGAACAATGTATTCATTTGAGCATTTGTATTATGCTCCGTTTCTTTTTCCATATATTTCATTGACGCATTTAATGCAAGTACATTCATGTAATCTTCTTAAGACGTCGCAATTTCTAGACGTCCGCATTATGTGTATTTTGTTTTGGACGTCATTATTTTCGACGTCTAAAGTATGTGTACTCCATTTATGACGTCACAAATAAATTTAAATCGTCTGAAGAGCCCCAAGATGGGCGAAAGCGCTAGCCGTTATTACTAGTATTCGTGTTTTGCTTTATTTTTATATATATATATATTATAAATCAGAAAAATGATCCTTACGGACGAATAAATATTGTATAAAGAAAAATTCTTAACAACGAGTCTTTAGCACTTTCATCTCTTCTAGGAGATTCTTCAGACGAATTCTGAAGAATCTCCTAGAAGAGATGAAAGTACTAAAGACTGGTTTGTTAAGAATTTTTCTTTATACAATATATATATATATATATATATACAAGTGATATGTTAAGGACAAAGTTGTAATAAAATAATTAAACGATTGAGCAGTTATCCTATTTCTATTTAGAAACATCAAACAGGTATGTAGCGAAATAATACAGCACATATTTGAAAGATTGGAATTGATTAAAATTCAAAAACAAAATTACATTAAGAAAATAAATCTGGATGAACATTGTAACATTTTTGTGATCTATTTGAATTGGGTTAATTGATTCAAAGTTCAACAGTTTATATTTGTTATCACCCTTTATGCAAAATAAAAATCACGACAAATCTGAATACTTGTAATGTTGTTGTTTTTTGTTGTAGGTGAAGTATCCTTACGTTATTGCGAGAATTTTCTAACCTTTAACCAATTTTTGTCGTTCTTTAAAAGCGACAAAATTTCACTTGTTAGAGATGCCAAAATGTCCTATTTCCTAAATGGCGAAATAGGTTCTTCTTCAGCAAATTTAATAAGAAGAAATAAGGAAAACTACCATCATATGATAACAGGTAATAATCCACGCACTTTACATGTAATGATCAACGCGAAAGATTTAGCAACCGCTTCTGACTAAGGTGCTTAATCTAATTATTTGTGTATTGATATCATACATTCCCTATTGGTTTTCCATAGATGGTTTTAGGTGATGAAGATAAACAAAATGGGGAAGTTATTCAATTTTGAAATGCTTCTCAGACTGTCAAAACGATCGACAATTAAAGGCTTGAATGGCTAAATCTGACGTCGATGATGAGCAAACGTATTTTGTGCTAACGGTCTCGAAAATGCAATCATCTATATAATAAAGTCTACCTACGGTGTCGGATGAAAACCTGTTCGTTGCTGTTTATCTCTCCGTCTACCATATCAGGAAGTGTATGATATACATAGTCCCTAACAGCGATATCCGTATGCAAAAACATCGCTTTAATGTTATTGTTACAACAAATTGTTTTTATTTTATTCACAGGCCATGCCGATCCTATGGATCTCTGGGGCATGTATTACTGGAAAGACATTCCACAGAATAACGCCACACTGTCAGAACCCGTATACACCACACCACACTTGATCCATCACATCAATCCTGCTCTCAAGTTGATCGTCATTCTACGTGAACCATCAGAAAGGTATTGCTTATTCATACTGCATTTAATGTTTGCATTAACTTTGTAGTACAAGATCTAGTATTGACATTAACAATAGGGAATAATCTAAGATAATATCAATTGTTTTCATAATTGCTGTAATAGAAATAAAAAGTTAATATGATATTTATCATTGATTTGGTTCATTTTCTAATTTTAAGTTTAGGTCAAGTATGTTTAAGAAAATTACAGAAAAAGTTCATCAAATATTTTAACAATACGATGAAGTAAACAACTAATGTTTGCTTTGTGTGGCCTTCTACATCGGTTTTAAATATTTTTAACGGCCCGAGGCATTACTTTGTAGTTATATTTGTTGGTTTATTGGGGTTTTTTGCTAAGACAAACCTATTACATTTTAACTAGTCCTAAAATAATTCATGCGTCCAGCAAAACAAAATGTTGACCTTAACAGATATACTGGCAAACCATTAGTGTTCTTTGTTGTTGCCCTTTTTAAAGTAACATAGTATCCACAGGGTTGAACGTAGGAAAAATGAAATTCATGCTATTGTGTTGGACACTTACTTCCGCATCAAATGATCCAGAGGTTTAATAGCATAGCGCCAACTAAACTGATTTTTTATTATAATTCACCATTGTTTAATATGTGATTTTGACAGTTTATAACAAGTAAATAATGGCGATTTAAAAAAACACACATGAAATACCTTGACCGTAGCATACTTGTTTACATCAAATACCTGTGCCTGTGAGCATTATTATTATTTGAATGAATGTCGTCTCAAGACATGTCTATCTTATCATGCCGATTAGGTTGGTTTTTAATTTGCCTCGTACTAATCAGTTAAAACAAATTAAGTTGTTTTTTAACAGTAGTTCTGGAAGAATACATTATAACAACAATATAAATTTAAAGTACAGAATTTCATTTTATATCCTGAAGAGATGCCGCCATAAGGCCTCAGTACGTCGATGACATTTATGTATTTGATGTAAAACCAAAACACATGACAAGAAATCATTTTCATACTAATCGTTTGCCTACATCAATTTAGCGCTGTATTTATATATGCAACTTGTATATACTGTTGAATGAGACAGCACGATTGAAAAAAACAAGATGCAGAAAAGCATGAAGCTATAGTTTGATCAGCTTGTGCTGGTACCTGTATATTGGTGACTTGCTAATTTCTTGCAGTTCATAACTTAGTGATTTAATTGGTATTCTCATAGGACCTACAGTCACTACCTGTTCCGCCGTCTAGGTAACAGTGCGCGGGAATTCCACCATCACGCCGTGGGTAATTTTACACTACTCAACACATGTGTAAAAAACGTTGGCAGCATGAGGGCTTGCTTGTTTAATGAATCGCTTTTGGAACATTATAAACGTGTAAGTAGTGTTTTATTTATTCTTATCTGACTACTGACAAAATCATTTTTTTGTCTTCTTAATATGCAACTAAGTTATTCGTTGTTTCGTTGCGGTAATTCACGTGACTGTTGACATGTGCCCTGTTGCAAATCTAATTATGTCACGTGTAATAGTCTATTGTTTTTGTTTGAAACTTCAATGGTGATCTATTATTTGTACAACGTGAGTGTTTCTTTCAATGAAAATAAGATGCAAGAACGTTTCACATCACACATTTTACGAGTGTCAAAATCGACATCTGTAACTTGTTCTCAACGTTCATGTTGGGTTTTTCTATCATTAGTATGTATGAGTATTATTATTATCACCTTTTCTTGTTGTCATACCTTAAACATAACTGCATACCATACTAAAGGTACTACTTATGAAGCAATTTCAGTAAGATTTGATACGAATAACAATTCGGACACCATGTCGGAGCCATACTCTTTTTTTTGTCATTTAATTTTTCGACGACACGCATACAAATATGACCAATGATGGTAGAAATAACTTGCTGAGTATCACTTAGAATCCATATTTCAATATCACTGCGAATTGGTGAACATTATGTGACAGTACTAAAGAATAACATCTTTAAAATTTGATTGTTTTCTATAGTTACCAGTTCTGTTAGACAACAGGCATCAAACCAAAACTAATTGGGAATTTCCGACATTATCTGCATGTGACGTCACTTATGATTGGTCTTCAACAGCTCAACAGTATAAAGGAAAGACCCGAAAAGTTTGAGATATTTCAGATTGGAAAACATTCACATGCAAAAGTTCTTGTTTTTATGGTTTTTACCTCGTTTTAGACTGGTAGATTTATGTTAGGACTGCTCCACAGCACACACACACACACACACACACACACACACACACACACAACACATACACACATACACGCAAATATATATATATAAATATTTAAATATATGTAAGGTGTTTTTTATTCTTTCAGTTTCCGATCCATGGTAGTTTTTATTCCATATTATTGAAGGAGTGGTTTTCAGTGTTTCCGAGGGAACAGTTCCTTATCATGCGCACCGAAGATTATTCCAGTAATATGACATCCCATCTACGCAAAATATTTAATTTTTTGGAAGTTGGTGAGTATTCAAACTGTAAATATGAATGAAAGTAATTTAAGCAGACTGACACAAGCAAGGAAAGCTTTTAAATATCTCTTAAATGGAGATTCAAAAGTAGCGAAATTGTCAATAGACCATGGTTTAGAGAGATCAAGGTAACGTCATGACATTAAACAGCCACAAAAAACGCCTATAAAAATGAGCATGTCAACACAAGATTTCGCGTGAATTGCATTTTTAATGTTGTTCAATTAAATAAGCCTCTAAAAAGAGCTATATATAGTACTACTTTGGAAATGTAGATACGACACGCCACGTGTTTCAATGAATCCATCTCATCGATTTTGTATTAGAATATAAGCAAACAGCATAGGTCTTACACTGTACCCCTGTTTAACAGTATTTGTTTAATTTATTGGTCTTAATATTTTCTATATTTTCAGATGATATAACAGAAACAGAACTAAACAATATGTCCAGAGTACCAGTACGAAGAATAACAAAGCATAAGAAAGCGATAGGAAACATGCTACCAGAAACTAAACTTTTTTTGTACAAAATATTCCAACCATATACCCAAGAGTTAGCCGATATACTCCATGACAAACGCTTTTTATGGGAGGAGAACAGCATCATATCGTCATAAGAATGAATGTTAAACCTCGGTGTTGCTGTCATGTTCTAAAAATTGAAATAATAAAAATCAATGGACGATTTTCTAAATGGTTTGAATAATAGGAAGGCATGTATTGCTTGTTCATTGATTTCTAAATATATCCACACTAGAATACAAATATAATTATGAGTGCGAAGTACCTGTTGAAAACATTGTATCTTCTGAGCCAGTGAAAAAGAAAAAAAACAATTGCTGTATAAAAACGTAGCTTGTTTTCTGCGCATTTCTGATTCCGAATGTATATACAATAGCGGAACATCTCTTGTTCTCGAACATTATGTCCACTTACTCAATGGAAGGTATTTCAAAAGAGTCCAGATTATAGTTTCAATAGTAATATTTAAATGGCTTTGTCAAATCCATATTCAATGTTAAGCAGAGATTCAATGACTTATAAATGAAGAGAGTACGAACAAAGCGAGAAGTGCTGCAGCTATTTTGTCATAAAATGTAAGTCAGTCAAAGTCACTTGAGCGTTTGTTTCAATTGGTTTCTGGAAGTTGTAATGTCGAAATATCATGAATGAGAAGCATTATTCTGTACTTCTAATGTATGATTGTGAGTGACCAAGTAAACGATTTATTCAAATTGTATTAACATGTATTTTAATTTATTTAAAGTATAGATTTGTAGATGATTTATTATTTGATGCGTTCGTCGCCATGGAACAGGCGGTACCCTGCTTATTGTAATTTTGTTTTTATTGGGAGTGGTTGTAGAAATTTATTTTGAAGTATGTCGTATTGCGAGCGATAAGGAAATGTGAATATTGGCATAGATAAAGAGAAATGGGGGAGTTAACGTTTGTTTACATTTTAGACAGGCAGGTTACAGCATGTACAGTAACATGCTCTTGTTATCTATCATTTATATTAGACAAGATTTGATATTTGAGTGAATTTTCAAATATCTCAAGACAGATTTATTGATGTTATGCACTTTCAAGTATTAATAGACATGAATTCAAACTATCCTGGAAAAATATTATTCTCTTCTGATGTCTATTGCACAATTATTTATTATACATTTAAAACGACACAAAAACAAATCAGGTTGGTAAGTATAGCTTGTCAAAAGATACATAACACAACCAATAAATAGGGGGGGGGGGGATAAGATATTATCTCTTATTTCGGGAACACCATATTGGGCTTGTCAAGCATTAAGAACAGATTGTTGCATTGTTCTTACTCTCTATGTGAAAGTTTTAAACCAAGGTGTTTAACGTTACATGTCTCGCACTTTCGTATGCTACCATTGAATCATTCGATACAAACCAGAACCTTACATAGGTATACCAAGCACGCCATCATGTAACAGCCGATGTCACAAATATCATAAGTCAAAGACAACATTAACGGTCTGAGTACATGAAAGCAGACAAAGAAATAGGTTCACCACACTAGTATATTGACACTATGATTACCATACACCAATACTAAGCGCAGAATAACAGTTGTTCCATTCAGTCCGACATTTCGATGGTTCCGGATCAGTTGGAGAAAGATTTCTGAATTACCATCTCGTTTACGACCAGCACCGAGATACTACAACTCGAAACAAGCATAATAAGAGTTCAGTCTGTCATTGTCGCAGATTTCTTATTTTTGGAGGAAACACTTTGACTGAAAGGACACTTCCAGAGATACTCTATAAAAGTATTAGTCTCATGTCGAAATTGAACCAGCATACATGTAGCAGGAGGCGCAGACATTCAAGACGTAAAACAGCAAGGGTGGGAGAACTGGGAAATAAGAAAAAGCTGATTTGAGGCAGTTTCAAGACTGCATTGATAGACAAACAAACTATTCTCACACCTCAGACAGACATATTCCACATTATACCCATGCTAAAAGTTGTTTATCTCGTCCAATCTGTCTGGTACCTTTATGTGACATTTCGCGGAATTGTACACTGTGATGTTTTCATCCGCGCGGCAACGGCTTGCAATTAAAAATCTGCATTATAAGAATTCTGTTTTGTCGTGTCATGAATTGTGTCGATGTTGTTAGATATCTGATGTCGTAGATAAAATATAATCTATATCACGAATAAAAGGTCGTAATCTTTTGTGAAAAGGATGTAAATAGTTCTATATTTCGAAAGTATACCAGATGAATCTTTTATACAAAATATAGTTAAAAAATGACGTTGATGAAACCCATACATCTATTTCATATCAAAATCGTCACAAGTACGGAGGCATATCATGACGATTTTTATACATTAATTTAATTGTACGGATAATCGAATTACGCGTATTGATCACTAATTCGTGTGTACGATTGATGAACTGGAACATACAGATTATATTGAACTGTACATTGTTTATATATAGTATTTAGTGTTTTCTTCGTACGCACAGATTATGAAATCTTGCCACTGTACAAGCGAATCACGATATCGCTTTTACGATTTTAATTAGACGTACGGATTACTATTTCATACGTGTAGTATTTATCTAAAGGTAACGTAGTCAAGAAAAAAATCGGCCGTAATATGTTTCCCTCGTGCGATAGAAAAGCTAGTGTAGTTGAATATGTTCAGTCCGGATTCCTTGTCACTTCTCCGGTTTTTTCTTAGGGAATTTACATTGAACTAGATTTAAATGGATGGATGGATGAATGGATGGAAGGATGGATAGATGAATGGACGAGCAACATTTTGTTTTTTGTTACTTTTCGATTAATGATGTGATCGAAACTTTTGGTTGACTGTTGCGATAGGCATGTTGATCTATTAAAAATGTGGTAATTATAAGTTTTGTCGTGATTTCCAAAGCTTATACAAATTTATCGTTGAAGACCATAATGAATAGTGTAGTGTTTGGCTATTTTATTACTGCTATGTCTGTGAATTATATTTTCGGACTTTGTAATGTAATCATATCAACCTTTGGTCCCCTTTCTTATTCACCAAAATAACGTAGAGATGAATATCTGTATATAACTGGCTGATTCAGTGTAAGGGATCTCCGTACCACTGCCAAAATCTGTAACTACCCATTAGACACTGGTTTCCCTCCATAACTATAGCTTTGATTAATCATTACTGAAAAGAAAACCATTGATTGCAGGGGTTTTATGAAAAATGATAAAGATGAAATTAGCAAAATATAATCAACAACAGTCATTAAGTGGGACTAGACTGGTTTCACACCCCGTGCTCCAGATGTGTATACTATCGAGTTATCCATTGAGCTATCTGGTTTTCTGAAATGCCCTGGGCCATAAATCAAAACGAAATTAAAGGGAAGTAACTGTAAAAACCATAGTGCAGAGGACAGGATTCCTTAATGACTAACACTTACGTCGTAATAGAAAATGTTTGAGTAAATCATCACTTAACCTATGGAACATTAATTTTGTGGGCGTCTGTCTTAAGGATCTATGTCCTGTTAGATATATAATGTACTATAATACACATGGTCTTTTAGCTAGAAATGCACCGGTGGCATACGACAGTATGTCAAAATTCACCATTTAAAAAAATATAACAATATGAAAACAAAATGAGTAGGAATGTTCGTGTGTTGTATCTTTTCTATACGACTGTCTGTAACAGAGTCGATCTTTAGTTAATTGTTTTGTTGTTATGTATAGAAGAGCATGAGAGCCATGCTAAAACAATAAGTGCGACTTATTAACTCGCAATTTCAACTTAATTACTTGAAATTCGAGATACTAACACGACATTTCAACTGAATAACTCGAAATTTCGAGATCATAACTGTTTAAACTAGAACCTGTTTAATCTGGATTTGTGTGTGAACAAATCAGTTGGTCTCAATTCTTTTACTTTAATGATTTAACTTCGAATTATGTTTCCCTTCAAAACATTAGTGAACATACACAAATACATGTATGAACCGTAATCAAATCACATTCTGTGTTAGTTCAATCCTTAGTGTTAGACAGGATAGTTAACAGTTGACCAGTCATTCTCAACCTTCCCGGGGTATTCACATGAGCATATGTTATACTAACATGGTTCAGCTTATAACGGTGGCGATATATGAAACGATCTCTTAATGAATATGAATGATAAATATTTCTTGTGAATATCGACCTTTTCTTATCATTTTAGTTATTGAAAATTGAAAGCGAACGGAACCAGAAAAGAATGCAATATAGGTTCACAGAGAGTTTATATGATGTTGTAAAAGAAGTATTCGCCTAGGAAACAGCCGGTTTACATTGTCCTGATCTTAATTAATGAGGTTAATGAGTTAAAGACTAAATAATCTGGCCGGTTTACACAAAGATCCAGATTGGACAGAATATGTTTTTTTTTTAAATCCACAGTACATCATACTTATTAAATTATGAAGCTTCAATACATCATAAAGATCGCATAAAAGTGTTTCTGGAGTTTTATATCAGGCGTGTTATTGGACTTTTCTGGAGGGGCTTTGCGCTTTAGGCGAAATCAGTATTGCTGCTTAAATGTTTAGTTACTTGTATTCTCAACGCTTCTTGGGGCTTCGCTCCCCCTCCTCTCCCATAATCCCAACCAGCGCTTCGCCACTGGAACCCCTTCTTGAAAATGTGGCTCAACGGAAGGTGCACTCCACTATCTGAAAATCATCGGACCGCCGCTGCATACAGCCATTGCACATGTTCTAATGTAGAAATTCGAGTTATTATCCTCGAGTTATTATCTTCGAGTTATTAAGTCGAAATATCGAGTCAGTATCTTGAAATTTCGAGTTAGTATATATTGGGATTTCGAATAATTAAGTCAAAACTTCGAAATTTCAAGATCCTTAATCGAAATTTCGACCTACTTACTTGAAATTTCAAGATAAAAACCCGAAATCTGGATATATCTACTCGAAAGAAAAAATCATGTGGCCCTTATGCTCTTTCTGGTTATGTATTGATTGCAGCTGTCAAAATGGCGATAACTTTTTATTTCTTTTTTTTTTCAAGCATTTTACTTCCCCAGCACATTAAGGATCCGAGGTTGGGGAGCCCCGGGATCAGTATCTTCACAATCATGTGACCTCATACATGAGGGCTATCATACTTTCTTTCATACTTACTAGTAGTTATATTATTATTTATTTATTTTCACTGTCTTCTTTAACATTTATACTTACATTCAAACTTACATTCAAAATTACCGTACAAATTACCCTGACATACATATATGCATACACTCCCTTTGCGCGCCTCCAGGTGGATTACCCAAGTCGGCCTTGATTACTTATATTAGAAAGAAAAAAAATGCACATTTTTACAATAAAAATCATGTGGGGTTTTTCGTGATCAAAACAACACGGTTTAAAGTAATAAACGAGGCAGAAAGGAATGATGAAGGAGAAAGTCAGCCATGACACTAATGCGGATGCTTCTGTTACCTGTGCGGAGAAAAGTCATTCTTTTTACCATTATATTGCATTACATTCTATGGATAAAATTTGTATTTCATGATCGAATGTGTACCTGAAGCTCCTATTCTTCAACGAGATTTCTTTGCCCATATGAGGCACAAATTATATCTTATTTCTCATCATCGTAGCTGCTCTCTGAGACCTTTCCTCTCCTTTTCCCGACAAATGACAGACATACCAATCGACCACATGAACACGCCTAGAACATGCTCGATTTGATTCTGAGTGAATGACATAGTTCAAAAAATAAAGAAAAAACAATAGTGTAAGTGTACCCTTAAAAACTTAGAGATTGGTTGTTTTTTTTCGTTTAATAATATATTCTTTTATAATGATGTATGCGTTAACATGTGATTTGACAGACGACAGGTGCGACATCGCGTTAAAAACTGCAAAGCCGTGATATGAAAAATGTACTCTATTTTATGTGATGAGCCGCGAGCGAAAGTTTACATCGGCAAACCAAACTGAGCTTTGTGATACCCTGTTAAAGTTCTGTCACACATAGCCGTTTGGGACGCCGCTATACCGGAGCACGAATTTGGCGATTTTCGGGGAACGGTACTAGAACGGCAACGCAACGGTATCGCATCGCTAGGAACGCTAGTACATTGACAGGACATCGTCAGAAGAATC